CCTGAAGTATTTGTGCCAACTCAGAAGCTAGATGGTATAGTGTGGGGTGTTGGGGTCAGACTGTCTGGAGGAACATCTGGCTTTGCCCCTTATCTAGCTGGGTGGCCTGAAGCAAGTTACTTTACCGCTTTGCATCTCCATTTTCTCATCCATTAAATGGAGATGGTGCCAGTGGCTCCCTCACAGGGTGCTTGTGAGGACTGAAAGAGCTTAGAACTATGTGTGTCGTGTGGTGAGCGCTGCCGAGATTTCTGCTCCTTACCAGGCCTGGTCTGTCTTTGCCTTTGGGCTTTTTTACTTTCTCTTCTCTCTCCATCGTTTTTCACAGGGCTAACTCTCATTTGCTCTGCAAGATGCAGCTCAGTGGTGGCTCTCGTTTTGGGGGTGTTTCCCCACATGTCTCTTGCCCTGTTGCATTCTCTCTGTGCCTTCATCCACCTATGGAGGACTTCCGTCAGAACCCTCATAACATAGTGTTTCTACGATCAGTTTACTTGTCCACATGGACTCTGAGCATGGAACATTTGTTTTCCTTTCTTTTTTAATATTTTTGAGGAGTATGAGGGAGATATTGGGTAAATGTATATTGAATTGATAAATAGACCACCTTCCTCCCTCCCTCCTTCCCTTCCTTTGTTCCTCCATCTCTCCCCATCATTGTTGTTTCCTGCTTTCCTGCCTTCTTTTCTACCTTTCTTCCTACCGAACTTCCTCCCTCCCTTTGCTTTTAAGCCTGGCGCTGGATGCAGCATCTTAGTTGTTCTCCACAGGAACTCTGTGGGGTAGGCATATGATTATTCCCATCTCGCAGGCATGGAAACAAAGGATCAGGGCAGCAGGCAACTTGCCCATCCAAAGGGGCAGCCCCTTTACAGACTTGTCATCCAGTGTTGCTCTCTCTGCTGAAAGAATTTTGGCATTTTTTCTTTGGAATTCCCTTCTGGCTGTCTGAACCATGTAAGAAAATCAATCTTATTTTTGGTCACTCTCAGAAAAGATGATTTCCAGCCTGAACATCCTCATTCATCATATATGAAATTCAAATAAAATTGGATCTTATTAGAAATCCAAGCCACTTCCCAAGGACAAAGACTTGCCATCTTTCAGAATATTGAAGTGACTTGAACATGCACTCTCCACTCCCTAGAGGCTTGGCAGTGGCCACATTACGGGGCTGAAAGCTACTGATACTCCTGCAGACTTTTTCTGGATGTGATTTAGGGCTCTGGGGCTGGTGGAGGAAGGTCAATTTATTTTATCAACCCATTTCGTGTTCTTTGCAACAGCTTTATTGAGATGTTATTTATGTACCATACAATTCATTCATCTAACATGTAAAATTTAGCGGTTTTTAGTATATTCAAAAAGTTGTGCAACTAACACCACCATCTAATTCCCGAGCATTTGCATCACCCCAAGAGGAAACCCTGTGCCCTTTAGTAATTACCCTCCATTCCCCTCATTTCGACACTCCTGGCAACCATCAATTTACTTTCTGCCTGTGGATTTGCTGATTCTGGATATTTTGTATCAGTGGAATCATATAACACATGGTCTTTTGTGACTGGCTCTCTTCACATGGCATAATGTTTTCAAGGTTCATCCACATTGCGGTGTGTATTAGTACTTTACTGCTTTGTATGGCTAACTCATATTCCATTGTATGGATATACCACATTTTATTTACTCATTTATAAGTTGATTGACACATAGGCTGTTTCCACTTTTTGTCTACTAGGAATAATGCTGCTGTTAATATTTGTTACGAATCAGCTTATGGATGGATAAGTACAATGTGATATGTCCCTGTAATGGAATAATATTCATCTATAAAAGAATGTACTACTGATACGTGCTGCAACATGAGTGAAAGGTGCCAAGTGAAAGAAACAGTTGATTGCATGATTCCATTGATATTAAATGTCCAGAAGAGGCAGATACATGGAGACAGAAAATAAATTAGTGGTTGCCAGGGCCTGGGGATAGGGACAGGGATGGAGAGTTACTGCTGAACTGTATAGAACTTCTGCTCTGGATGATGAAGATGCTCTAAAGTTTATTGTGTTGATGGTTGTACAACCTTGGGAATATACTAAAAAACTACTGAATTTTATACTTTATAGGGGTGCCTCTATCTATATCTATCTATCTATCTATCTATCTATCTATCTATCTATCTATCTATCTATCTATCTATCTATCTATCATCTATCTATATCATCTATCTATCATCTATCTATCATCTATCTATCATCTATCTATCT